GTAGGTGCTAGTTTCAAATCCTTTTTAGTCTGAAATCTGTATGCTAGATATTGAGTAAGGTGGTTTTATTGTTTTTTGTCACTTTGAATAATATTTCTGTTCATGTTAAAAACAAAATCAACTCTCTGTATAATTATATCAGGTGACCGTTAAGGCCATGGGCCTCTTGTTTATTATTATTATTATTTTTTCATTTTTTTCATTTTTTTTTTCATCAAAAAGTTTTGATTTGGGGGGTAAAAAGCTAGGGTCGACCAGGAACCTTAAACAGACATATATATTTGTTTGGCCTAAGGCCTGACAGAGAAATATGTTTGTTACCTGTTACATGCTGAAAAAAATGAGGGGGGGGGGTAGTTTTTTTTGTGTTTTTTTGTTTTTTTGTTTTTTAATTTTTATTATACCTGAAATTGAACACCAAAACAAAAAGGTAATGCAGACATCACCAATGAAACCACATTGTAGAAGATATTAAAACTAGGTGCCGAAGACAGATTTGCCAGTGATACTTGATACAGAATACAATATTATTTAATAACAGTAATTATTTATTACAACAAAAAGTTCTTTTGGCATTGATGGCCTTTGAGGTTGCTTCATCCGCTGCTTTGCTGCAAAAAAGAACATAACATTAAAAACAAGAATTAACCTTTGACTTCATTTATTTATTATCCTATATATTTTGAATTATATAGCTACACGTAGATCCATTTAGCAGGTAAATAAATGTTTTTCCTGATATTAAAATATATCAAATGCCTTAAATGTGCCCAAAATGTGCCTAAAATGTACCTATATTGAACAGGTTTAACCCCTCCTATTCTGTCCTCTTTTTCTTCCTTACCAAAAATGTACCTAAGGCATGCCTTAGATATACCTAAGGCATGCCTTAGGTACCCCAAAAAGTGTACCTCAAATGTACCTTTTTTTCCCCTGGGTATAGCTGTCACAGCCGAGTCGATACCCATTAGTGTATATCTGGCAGGAGTCTCGTGAGCCACACTCACGGTACGTATAAATTAACCCTAGAAGATATTGTTCTAAACAAGGCTTTCAGTATTTTCACAAAATTAAAATAAATTCAAGCAAACACACATTGCGATGTCACCAATCCTGAATCGTCACTCGCGTGGCACTCAAAAGTAGGATGGGTAACTCCAAAGTTAATATAACTTCTGCTACGGAAAAGCCGCTCCTGACTTCAAAAGTTTGTTCAGGCTGTGTACTCACTAGAATAGTGGGGTGATTTGCTTTTGTGTTTGATTCGTCCGATTGGTATGTTTCAAAAACTTCTGCCATTAAATAAGTTGCAGGGACCGCCGCCATCCTTGGGTCAAGGGGACTCAATTTTGTATAATTGGTGGGTATGACCCCCCTAAGTTGCATATAGGGGTGGGGCTCTGTTTGAAGTTTGTTCTCGCTATATCTCAAGTACTGGATGGATCTTTCTGAAATTACATATGTTCTTACAGCACCTACTTCATACCAATTATTTTAAACATATTCAGGTGAGCGATACAGGCCCTCTGGGCCTCTTGTTACATTTCATTCCACATGAATGTATAGAGATAAAATCTGTAGGAAAAACACACACACTCATGCCGCCAATCCTCCAGTGCCAGGGGCACTTTGTTCTTTTTCCAGTTACAATCACTTTGGTTCCTAACATGCAGTATCAGCTTTAATATCTAACTGCAAACAATCCCCCACAGTATACTATCCTTTGTAACGACTTCTTATTATCCAGGTGCACACAATCCCCCACAGTATACAATCCAATGTAATGACTGCTTAATATACAGGTGCAGACAATCCCCCACAGTATACAATCTATTGTAATGACTGCTTATTATCCAGGTGCACTAAATCCCCCACAGTATACTATCCTTTGTACCGACTTCTTATTATCCAGGTGCACACAATCCCCCACAGTATACAATCCATTGTAATGACTGCTTAATATACAGGTGCACACAATCCCCCACAGTATACAATTTCTTTCTTATGACTGCTGTAATACACACTGTCCCTTTCAATACAAGCTTTTCTAATTAGGGGATATATACGTCTGGCAATTTTAGAACATGAAATTTGGTTGGAACTTGAGATTGTAGTAAATCGGTATAAAGACCTTGTTGAACTTTGTCAGTGGCTTCCCTTGATGCGCCCCCCTACATCATACTGACTAATCAGAGAGAGGCTTCCTTAAATGACCATAGCTGTTGAAAAGACAATAAACGATATGAAATCAAGTTTTCAAATACGAGTCATTATAAGCCCCACCGAATCTGGCACCCGCTCAATCTGTTTGTTGACAAGGCAAAGTTTGAATAATTCCTCAACATGCTGTTACCAATAATTTTATGCGACAAACTTGGAATTTATTAATTTTCAAATGTCTGTCATATGCATGATAAGCTGAGGGTGTCGACACCAGTGACTTTTTCCGGCAGAGAAATTTGTGAATAATTCTTACAACATAATAATTGTGATATTAATGAATCAATATTACTACACAGCCACTTGGGCTTTTTTAAAGAATATATATATATATATGTATATATTGATACCTCAAAACACACAGTGCACTGACAAATATTCTCGGGTTTTTCCAGATTGCTGATTGGATTACGGAGGACATGTGGGAGCAGCTGTACCATACTCGGAGCCATAGTGGTAGACATACTCTCATGAAAAAGTTTTATGTAGACCAACGGAAAAAACATGTCAAGGAAGCCAAAAAGACTGCAAGCAAGAGCATTCAAAGTCCTGTACATGACAACAAAATGGAAAGGAAATCTAACCACTATGTCGTCAGATGTGGGAAAACGGAGGTTAGTCTTGCTGAGAAACATAGACAGCTTAGATCACAATTCCATGGCATTAATTTGGTTATAGATTTAAAAGATGTGCATAAAATGAAACAGAAAGAGCAAAACAATGTGTTGAACTCTGTATATAATGGCTTGACCAGTAATGCCACGGCACGAGAACCATTCCACATGGTGTTATGCAATTCAAATCTACCTAAAATGGCATTGACTGTTAAATATCGGGACATGTCTAAACATTTCACTGACATTACAGAGAAGAGTTACCTGGATCTATTTCCTCGAAAAGAGCTGGTCTACTTATCTCCTAGTGCCAGAGGCAGCAGAGTGCAATACGATTCCCGATACACCTATATAATTGGTGGTCTGTCTATGAATGAAAACCAGGATATAAGTTTGGCGAGGGCGATGAAGGACAATATCCGTGTACAGGAAATCCCACTGAAGAAATATTTTAGGTAAAATCACACACATATACCTAGATATATAGTACAGTACTGTAAAGTGTCACACAAATACCTAGATATATAGTACAGTACTATAAAGTGTCACCCATATATATACCTAGATATATAGCACAGTACTATAAAGTGTCACACATATATATACCTAGATATATAGTACCGTACTGTAAAGTGTCACACATATACATAGATATATAGTACAGTACTGTAAAGTGTCACACATATATATACCTAGATATATAGTACAGTACTGTAAAGTGTCACACATGTACCTAGATAGTACAGTATTGTAAAGTGTCACACATATATATATACCTAGATAGTACAGTACTGTAAAGTGTCACACATATATATACCTAGATATATAGTTCAGTACTGTAAAGTGTCACACATATACCTAGATATATAGTACAGTACTGTAAAATGTCACACATATACCTAGATATATAGTACAGTACTGTAAAATGACACATATATATACCTAGATATATAGTACAGTACTGTAAAGTGTCACACATATATATACCTAGATAGTACAGTACTGTAAAGTGTCACACATATACCTAGATATATAGTACAGTACTGTAAAGTGTCACACATATATATACCTAGATATATAGTACGGTACTGTAAAATGTCACACATATATATACCTAGATATATAGTAATGTAAAGTGTCACACATATATATACCTAGATATATAGTACAGTACTGTAAAGTGTCACACATATATATACCTAGATTTATAGTACAGTACTGTAAAGTGTCACACATATATATACCTAGATAGTACAGTACTGTACAGTGTTACACACATACCAAGATACTTATCAATACATTTTTGTAAGATTATTGTACGGTTGTAGTATGTATTTAGGCACAAAAAATACAGAATTGTTGACATATTTGAGCCAATATATAACAAGGTCACAGGGACTTTCTCGTCAACGATGTGCTTCTTTTTTTGGACATTTTTAATATTTGCTGCTTTAGTGTTACGCAATATACCAAAATGACGAAGAACCTTAAAAATATATTACCTATAGTTTTGTAAAAAAAAGCGTTCATTTGTGATTTTGGTCCCCCACTTTCCCCCGTCATATCTTGGAATGGTCTCCAAGCTGACCTTAATTTCATGTCATATCACGATGGTATAACCCCAAGGTATGTATATATACAAAAAATAAAACTTATCGGTGATAGCCACCAGAAGGCCCAAATTGGCACTCCTCCTTTCATCTGAAGTTCCCCATGGTCACTATAGACATGCTAGTATACAAATATTTACCTGGTGTTACCATCATTGACACCACAGCATTGAAATACCTGATACGCAGTACCATAATGAGGACACCAAATATAAGACCAGAACAACATATGTATTATGATGGGTTGGAGGTCCTTAAATCTGGAACCACTTAAATTTTCCTTAGCCTGTTACCAATTCTCAGGAAATATTGGAGGGATTCAAAGATCTCAGATTTGATATGCATGCTTCCCTCGGTCACTGGTTGTGCATGTTTCCTTTTGAGACTGATCGGATAAACATAATGGCCAACAGTTGGCCATCTGGGATTTTGACAGTGAAGGTTTGTTATTGCTATTTCTCAGAAAATACTGGAGGGATCTTTCTCAATTTTGATATATTAGGTTCTCTTAGGTCTTTAGTTGTGCCAATAGGTAGCCATCATGGTTTTTGGAAGTGAAGGTTTGTTATTGCTATTTCTCAGAAAAGAAAATCAATGGAATACTTCACAGCTATAGAAACTAGGAGAAATCAACAGGGTTTTCTTCTTTACAGCATATATTGTATATAAGTACATTGTGTTAAGATGAACAAAGTTGCATTAACCTTGAAATTATAAATTTGCAACATGTTATAAATGCATTATTTGCATTTTCAACATTAATGATAATTTTTTTAACACTGGCTGGTAATCACATGCATTTAATATGTATCCTGAATATCGATAGTATAAAAACTGAAGTTTCATCTCAAAATATTCCAAGTATGAAACTCCAAAAATTTATATATAATAAGACTAAGTAGGAAAATTGGTGTTAATCTGAATTTGAAGAAAAGACAAAGTTGAGAAATCTGTGTATTAACCAGACATTGTTAACAATTGATAAACAAATCCGACTGGAATCCACAGGATTTAACTCATTTAAACCGATAGGAATTTCTTATCAGAATCCATGTCTGATCAGATTCTTACTGAATCTTAAAGAATCCGATCAGAATCTGATCAAATTTTCACTTTTTCCGATCAAGTTACTGGTATTAATAAGTAGTGTGATTATATTTGTTTGTTTCAGGCACATCAACAGCCGCCGGGTAATCCCTATAGAGGAAGTGGTAACAGTTATGCTAAGTTTGAAAGCAAATGACGGTTTATACGAAGCAGCATTTCAGAGTATTCTCAGTCATCGACATGGCGTGAACAGTATAAAATCACTTTTAAAAGGATATTGCGGTGAGTATCTTTCAGCAAACAAAAAACAAAATATGTTTCAAAAGCTTTTTTTAGCTCACCTGGCCCTAAGGAGCCTAGGGTGCTGATGTTTGGCCAGTAGCAAACTGGGATAAAGGCATACCAAGTTTGTTCAAATAAATGACCTTCACCCATATTCAAGTTCACAGGGGTCAAATATGTAAAAACAAACTTTAAACAAGTTTTTCTGAATTATAATGATAATAATAATGTACAACATTTGATATAGAGCCCTATCTAGCTAGAATAAGCCAGTTTAAAGCACTTTACAGAACATCGATATACAATTTTTACAATCGATACAATTAGCATATTCATTCATCAATACAATTTTGTGGAATTCACAGGAGCTGCCTTATCAGGCGCTAACTACTAGTCCTATGCCACCTGGCTAATATATCTCCCTATGTGTGTATGCCTCAATAACCAAAATGCCCAGGGTAATGATATTTGGCCAGTATCATGCTGAGATGAAAGGGCTACAAAGTTTGTTTAAATGAATGACCTTCAATTATATTAAAGTTCACAGAGGTCGATTGTCTTAAAAAACCTTTAAACAACTTCTTCTGAATAACCAAAATGCCCGGTGTGATGATATTTGTCCAGTAGCATGCTTTGGTGAAGGGCTACCAAGTTTGCTCAAATGAATGACCTCCATCCATATTCAAGGTCACAGGGGTCAAATATGTTAGAAAAACTTTAAATAACTTCTTCTGAATAACCAAAATGCCAGTGTGATGATATTTGGCCAGGAGGATGCTGAGAATGAGGGCTAACAAGTTTGTTCAAATTAATTTCCTTCCCCCAAATTCAAGGTCACAGGGGTCAAATATGTTAGAAAAACTTTAAATAACTTCTTCGGAATAACCAAAATGCCAGTGTGATGATATTTGGCCAGTAGCGTGCTAGGATCAAGGGCTACAAAGTTTGTTTAAATGAATGACCTTCACCCATATTCAAGGTCACAAGGAGCAAATATGTTCAAAGTATTTAAAAAACTTGTTCTCAATAAACAAAATGCCCAGGGTGATGATATTTAGTCAGAAGCATACTAGGATCAAAGGCTACCAAGTTTGCTCAAATGAATGACCTCCATCCATATTCAAGGTCACAGGGGTCAAATATGTTAAAAAAACTTTAAATAACTTCTTCTGAATAACCAAAATGCCAGTGTGATGATATTTGTCCAGTAGCATGCTTTGGTGAAGGGCTACCAAGTTTGTTCAAATGAATGACCTTCAATTATATTAAAGTTCACAGAGGTCAATTGTCTTAAAAAACCTTTAAACAACTTGTTCTCAATAACCAAAATGCCCAGGGTAATGATACTTGGCCAGTAGCATGCTGAGATTAAGGGCTACAAAGTTTGTTCAAATGAATGACCTTCAATTATATGAAAGTTCACAGAGGTCGATTGTCTTAAAAAACCTTTAAACAACTTGTTCTCAATAACCAAAATGCCCAGGGTAGTGATATTTGGCCAGTAGCATGCTGAGATTAAGGGCTACAAAGTTTGTTCAAATGCATGACCTCCACCCATATTCAAGGTCACAGGGGTCAAATATGTTCAAAGTATTTAAAAAACTTGTTCTCAATAACCAAAATGCCCAGGGTGATGATATTTAGTCAGAAGCATACTAGGATCAAGGGCTACCAAGTTTGTTTAAATGTATGACCTTGCATCATATTCAAGGTCACAAGGAGCAAATATGTTCAAAATATTTAAAAAAAACTTGTTCTGAATAACTAAAATGATCAGGATGTTGATATTTAGTCAATAACAAGCTGGGATCAAGGACTACTATGTTTGTTAAAGTGAATGACTTTGACTTATATTTAAGGTCACAGGGGTCAAATTTATTTAAAATCTTTAAACAACCTCTTCTGAATAACCATTGGTCCCAGGATGTTGATATTTTGCAAGTTGCATCCTGAGATGAAAGGCTATAAAATTTGTTCAACATAATGACTTTATTCGACTTTCAATCACAGTGGTGAAATGTTTTTTTAAAAAAAATACAGGTTCTTTTGAATGAATTTTAATCATAAATACTGATATTATGCCTGTAGCTTTATTTTAGATCACTTGTAATGTTACAAGTGTGAGATTTATACCAGGTGAGCGATGCAGGCCCATTAGGCCTCTTGTAAAATTTGTGATTTTCTTGTCTCTCAGGGCCCCCGTTTGCCACTGAGGAGGGGGTGAAATTTAGTATAGTTAATATAGGAATTAGACATGACGGGCCATATCTTCCATTGTTTTAAAAATAATTTGTTCATATTTGAGAGAAATACTTATTAGGGGAGGAGGGTCTGCTGGTATAAATCATGTGAGCCTGCTCCCCTAGGGGGCTGAGTTAGAGGCCGAAAAGCTCACAAAGTGCCAAGTGAGCTTATGCCGTGGAGCGGCGTCCGGCGTCCGTCCGGTGTCAATATTTTACTTTTAACGACTTCTTCTTAATAACCGAAAGGCCTAGGGTGATGATATTTGGCCAGAAGCAAACTGGGATGAAATACTACCCATAGCTGTAATGGCATTTGGGTGGTTTATAAAATTTATGATTTGAATGTCTCCCAGGGCCCCCGTTTGCCCCTGAGGAGGGGGTGAAATATAGTATAGTTTATAAAGGAAATAGACCCGACAGGCCATATCTTCCATTGTTTTGCAAATAATTTGTTCATATTTGAGAGAAATACTTTTTAGGGGGAGGGGGTCTGCAGGTAAAAAAATTATGAGCCTGACCCCCTAAGGGGCTGAGGTAGGGGCTTTTTCAAGGGAGGGGGGATTTGGGAAAATTTTTAAAATCTTCTTCTTTAGTTATAAAAATGCTAGGATCAAATACTACCCATAGCTGTAAAGGCATTTGGGTGGTTTATACAATTTGTGATTTTCATGTCTCCCAGGGCCCCCGTTTGCCCCTGATCATGAGGAGGGGGTAAAATTTAGTATAGTTTATTTAGGAAATAGACATGACGGGCCATATCTTCCATTGTTTTGAAAATAATTTGTTCATATTTGAGAGAAATACTGCTGGTATAAATCGTGTGAGCCTGCCCCCCTAGGGGGCTGAGTTAGGGGCCGAATATGGGGGGAATTTAGGGAAATTTCAAAAATCTTCTTTTCTAGAAATGCTAGAATCAAATACTACTCATAGCTGTAAAGGCCTTTGAGTGGTTTATAAAATTTGTGATTTTCATGTCTCTCGGGGCCCCTGTTTGCCCCTGAGGAGGGGGTGAAATTTAGTATAGTTTATATATGAAATAGACATAATAGGCCATATCTTCCAATGTTTTGAAAGGAGTACCTCATATTTGACAGAAATGCTTGTTAGGGGAGAAGGTCTGCTGGTATAATTTTTGTGACCCTGACTCCCTAGGGGGCTGGGTTTGGGGTGAAAAAGGAGGTAAATTTCAAAAATCACCTTCTGCAGTTCCAGAAATGCAAGTATCAAATACTACTCATAGTTGTAAAGGCCTTCGAGTGGTTTATATACTTTGTGATTTTCATGTAAAATTTAAAAGACAATTTGATAAATGAACAGCCATCACATACTTTTTATCTCCAACCCAACTAATGTGCTAGTAATAGTAACAACCTTAATTCTTTATGAATTATAAAAGTCTCCATAGTGACGCTTCCAAGTTCTTACCCTGCATGTCTGAAGTGGTTACAATTTGGCATTACAGAGCAAATGTAAATATTGTGCCATGATTGCTTAAATACCTGATCATGTTATGTATTAAATAGTAATACTCTAGACCTTGTAGAACTTTTAAAAGAAGATTTTTGAAGTCATTTTCTTGAAATTGCACATATGATATTTGACCCCTGTATAACTCAAAACTTGACCTGGTCAACTCAATTTTTTTCCTGCCAAACATATGCTCATTTGTGATGTCCACATCATACCTGAATATTATGTATTGGTAGGTGATCCTCCTGTTGTATTTTGTGTTATATATTCATTATTGGTAAGTGGAATATTGATCCCCATGTTGTATTTTGTGTTATTTATTGGTAGGTGAAATACTCTTTGTATCATATCATATTGGACAAATGGGAAGTTATAATTGTTCATAAAAATAAACACATCAAAAACAAAAATAACCAAGACATGGATATCATTTTGTTTTTTTCTGAAGTTTATTAAATGTCTTCTTGTATATTGTAGATCCATTGCAAGAAGAACCGGTGTCAGATGAGGGCAAGCGCATTCTAAATACACTTTATAACGATTTACCAAAGAAATATGAATTTCGATTAAAAACCGACATGTCAGAGCCCTTTACACAAGAGGAGATGTACATGTCAGAGCCCTTTACACAAGAGGAGATGTACATGTCAGAGCCCATCACACAAGAGGAGATGTAGTAGGAGAATATATGAGATAGGGCGACACACAAGTGGTACTGAACTCATTCCAAACCAGCTGTGGGGGGCATGGCAGCACAAAGGCGTTCCCTGAAACATCGCACTGGATGAACTTGTTGGGGGACGGGTGCGAGAAGAAGAGGCCGGCATTTGTCACAGTCTGGCCCAGACATGGATTTTTATCCACTCCGCTACCTGTTAGCAAACAGAAATGGCATCATGTTGACTTAAAAGTACAAAAATGTTTAACCTTGTGTACACAACAGTGTAATGCAATGTTTAACCTTGGGAAACCACCAGTGTAATGACATTACTATACACACCACCAGTGTAATGACGTTACTATACACACCACCAGTGTAATGATATTCCTATACACACCAACAGTATAATGACATCACTATACACACCAACAGTGTAATGACATTACTATACACATCACCAGTGTTATGACATTACTATACACACCAACAGTATAATGACATCACTATACACACCTACAGTATAATGACATCACTATACACACCAACAGTGTAATGACATCACTATACCCACCAACAGTGTATTTACATTACTATACACACCACTAGTGTAATGAAATTACTATACACACCACCAATGTAATGACTTATAAATCTTCCCCTCCCTTAATAGTGTGACAGTGAAATCTCCTACCCGAGGGGTGATCTTTTTGGTTGTCTTATACACACCACCAGTGTAATTACATTACTATACCCACCAACAGTGTAATGACATCACTATACCCACCAACAGTGTAATTACATTACTATACACACCACTAGTGTAATGACATTACTATACACACCACCAATGTAATGACTTATAAATCTTCCCCTACCTTAATAGTGTGACAGTGAAATCTCCTACCCGAGGGGTGATCTTTTTGGTTGTCTAACCCGAGGCTCTGCCACTCTAAAATAGTCTGTATATGGTGTTATATCACTATAATAGCATGTGTATAGTGTTATAGCACTTTACTAGCATGTGTATAGTGTTATAGCACTATAATAACATGTGTATGGTGTTATAACACTCTATAATAACATGTGGATGGTGTTTTACACTCTATAATAGCATGTGGATGGTGTTATATCACTATAATAGCATGTGTATAGTGTTATAGCACTTTACTAGCATGTGTATAGTGTTATAGCACTATAATAACATGTGTATGGTATTATAACACTATAATAGCATGTGTACGGTGTTATAACCCTCTTTTATAGCATGTGTATAGTGTTAAAGCACTATAATATCATGTGTATCATGTTATAGCACTATCATAGCATGTGTATAGTGTTATAACACTATAATAACATGTGTATGGTATTATAACACTATAATAGCATGTGTACGGTGTTATAACACTCTTTTATAGCATGTGTATAGTGTTAAAGCACTATAATATCATGTGTATCATGTTATAGCACTATAATAGCATGTGTATAGTGTTATAACACTATAATAACATGTGTATGGTATTATAACACTATAATAGCATGTGTATGGTGTTATATCACTCTTTTATAGCATGTATATAGTGTTATAGCACTATAATATCATGTGTATCGTGTTATAGCACTATAATATCATGTGTATCGTGTTATAGCACTATAATATCATGTGTATGGTGTTATAGCACTACAATAGCCTGTGTATAGTGTTATAGCACTATAATAGCCTGTGTATAGTGTTATAGCACTATAATATCATGTGTATGGTGTTACAGCACTATAATGGCCTGTGTACGGTGGTACAACACTCTTAAATAGCATGTGTATGGTGTTATAGCTCTATAATATCATGTGTATGGTGTTATAACATTTTATAATAGTATGGTGTCATAGCACTATAATGTCATGTGTACGGTGGTATACCACTCTATAATAGCCTGTGTATGTCGTTATAGCACTATAATAACGTGTATGGTGTTAAAACACTATAATAGCATGTGTATAGTGTTAAAGCACTATAATATCATGTGTATCATGTTATAGCACTATAATATCATGTGTATCGTGTTATAGCACTATAATAACGTGTATGGTGTTAAAACACTATAATAGCATGTGTACGGTGTTATAACACTCTTTTATAGCATGTGTATAGTGTTATAGCACTATAATATCATGTGTATCGTGTTATAGCACTATAATAGCCTGTGTACAGTGTTATAACACTCTATAATATCATGTGTATGGTGTTATATCACTATAATAGCATGTGTATGGTGTTATATCACTATAATAGCCTGTGTATGGTGTTATAACACTCTATAATAGCCTGTACATGGTGTTATAACACTATAATATCATGTGTATGGTGTCTTAACACTCTATAATAGCCTGTGTACAGTGTTATAACACTCTAATATAACATGTTCATGGTGTTTTAGCACTATGATATCATGTGTATGGTACGTGTTATATCACTATAATAGCCTATGTTTGGTGGTATAACACTCTAAAATATTATGTGTATGGTGTTATAGCACTATAATATCATGTGTATGGTGTTATAACACTATAATATCATGTGTATGGTGTTATAGCACTATAATAGCATGTGTATGGTGTTATAACACTCTATAATAGCCTGTGTTTATAACGATAAATGCATTAAACATTGGTAGTGTTAGTACACAGTGTGTTATAATAATAGTGTGTTAGTTTACATTGTACAAAGCTCCTAGTGTTAGTATACATTGAATTGCAGTTGTAGCGTTAAGTATACATTGTATTACGGCAATGGAGTTAAATATACAATATTTACATTTGCTCTTCATCTTTCCATTGCAATGCATTGAGAAGGCAAATGTTGTTGTGAGACTATAACAACCTTTGCTGTTGTAACGTCATCAATCTCTTAAGTGACGGCATCAATTTCATTGATGTCAATACTTAATAACTAAATAAAGCATGACTACTCTATCAAAATGAAAATATAAATAATGAATATTGTTATGGTGCTATAACACACATTTCTATTGCTGACAAATTTTCATCAAGCCCTACCTGGCTTCGTTTAGTTTGTCGGCAATAGCAATGTGTGTTATAGGACCATAACAACAATTGCTAAAACATTCATTGCTTAATTGTATTAAGCTAGTAGTGTTAAGTATATACTATATTACAGTATTATTGTTTTGTATTATTGTAATAGTGTTGAATATGAATTGCATTACTGTATTAGTGTTAGCATACATTGTATTATGATATTAAAAATGAAAAAGTCTTTGGGGTTTTTTAAGAATGAAGGTACCAATAGAATAAACAATTCTTCGTTCATCTCTTACAAAAAAAAATGTGCATTGCTATTTCATTCACATGTTTGACTTATTAGAGTGGTTCAGCTTAGCTAAGTGTTAACCTCTATTTCTCAGAAATCTATTTGAAACAGATATATATACCTCTATGCTTAACTCAGATGCTTAATGGGACCAAGATTTCATGATCACAGTCCAATGACTATTTCTTTGTCAAAAACTGTTGCTGTTTAGATCAGTGTTTACCTCAGACAGTTCAATACCCTATACCAACCAAACACCACTCAATATAATTGTATAATTTTATTTTTTCAGTATGTAATTCTTGTTTGGGGCATATGTATGGTGGTTGAGGAAAACTGCATGTCAGTCATGTGTGATATTAAAAATAATATACAGTATTTTTTTCTGATTTGTTTTTATTTTACATATTAAATACAAGAATACAAAAATTGATTTGTGATATTTACCTGACGAAGTGTCTGGGGCCTGTGTCAGCTGTAGTGGTGATATTTACCTGACAAAGTGTCTGGGGCCTGTGTCAGCTGTAGTGGTGATATTTACCCGACAAAGTGTCCGGGGCCTGTGTCGGCTGTAGTGGTGATATTTACCTGACAAAGTGTCTGGGGCCTGTGTCGGCTGTAGTGGTGATATTTACCTGACAAAGTGTCTGGGGCCTGTGTCGGCTGTAGTGATGATATTTACCTGACAAAGTATCTGGATCCTATGCTGGAAATTTTAGTGATATTTACCTGACAAAGTGTCTGGGGCCTGTGGTGGCAGTATTAGTGATATTTACCTGATAAAGTGTCCAGGGCCTGTGCTGGCAATATAAGTGATATTTACCTGACAAAGTACATTGGGCCTGTGTAGGCTGTATTAGTGATATTTACCTGACAAGGTGCCTTGGGCCTGTGTAGGCTGTATTAGCGATATTTACCTGACAAAGTGTCTTGGGCCTGTGTAGGCTGTATTAGTGATATTTACCTGTCAAAGTGCCTTGGGCCTGTGTTGGCTGTATTAGTGATACTTACCTGACAAAGTGTCTGGACCCTGTGTTGGCAGTAGTAAAGTGTCTGGGGCCTGTGTTGGCCGTATTAGTGATATTTACCTGACAATGTGTCTGCGGTCTGTGTTGGCTGTGTTTACCTGACAAAGTGTCTGGGGCCTTTGTAGGCTGTATTATTGATATTTACCTGATAAAGTGTCTGGGGCCTGTGTAGGCTGTATTAGTGATATTTACCTGACAAAGTGTCTGGGCCCGTGTAGGCTGTATTAGTGATATTTACCTGACAAAGTGCCTTGGGCCTAAAGTGTTCAGGGCCTGTGCTGGCAATATTAGTGATATTTACCTGACAAAGTGCCTTGGGCCTGTGTAGGCTGTATTAGTGATATTTACCTGATAAAGTGTTCAGGGCCTGTACTGGCAATATTAGTGATATTTACCTGACAAAGTGTCTGCGGTCTGCGTTGGCTGTATTTACCTGACAAAGTGTCTGGGGCCTGTGTAGGCTGTATTAGTGATATTTACCTGTCAAAGTGCCTGGCGCCTGTGTTGCCTGCTGTGACGGTGTGTGACTATAGACACAGGACTGTCGAACTTGGTCCCACTGCAGTTGAGACGGACAATCAAGCAGGTTGGCACTACCATCAGGCGAGCACTCGATGAACTTGTTCACGTTGCCAGGCACAGGGAAGTACACACTGCCAGTTGCGATGTTTTGGGCACTGCAGGGATTTGACACCTGGATTCCAGACCCTGTCACCGCTGGCAAAGGGGTTGTCTTCATCTGTAAAAGTGACATTGATGTGTTGTTTAACAACAGGGGAATCGGATCCCTTTCCCATCAACACACTACAAAGTCCCCTTAATTTGGCACTGCTCAGGAGCTCCATTAGTTCGAGTGACAATAGAATGATCTGGTTCAGATCCTGGCCCCAATACATCACACACTCGGAACATATAATGTGAACTTCAGTTCCATCTGGTTATTTTCTATTTCCTTGTTAGAAATGATTAATCAATGATGAGGGATTGCAATTGACATCTAATAAAGTGGGTTTATATCAGTCTACTTATGGTGGCATATTTCTGCCATCGACTTTCAACTTATGAGTTTCATATGTCGACACAATTTTTAAAAGATGTTGACATCATTTATAAATGTGTCGCAATAACGTTTAAATGATGCCTTTTTAGCTCACCTGGCCCGAAGGGCGTCAACTTTTTAGCCCACCATCATCTGATGGTGGGCTATTCAAATCACCCTGCGTCCGTGGTCCGTGGTCCGTCGTCCGTCCGTCCGTCGTTCGTCCTTAAACAACTCTTGTTATAGCTATTTCTCAAGAAGTACCAGAGGGATCTGTCTAAAAATTTATATGTAGGTTTTCCTTGGTCCTAAGCTGTGCAGAGCAACCTTTGAGACTGATCGGATAAACAACATGGCCGACAGGCAGCCATCTTGGATTTTGATAGTGAAAGTTTGTTATCGCTATTTCTCAAGAAGTACCAGAGGGATCTTTCTAAAAATTTATATGTAGGTTTTCCTTGGTCCTAAGCTGTGCAGAGCAACTTTTGAGACTGATCGGATAAACAACATGGCCGACAGGCAGCCATCTTGGATTTTGATAGTGAAAGTTTGTTATCGCTATTTCTCAAGAAGTACCAGAGGGATCTTTCTCAAATTTTATATGTAGGTTCCCCTTGGTCCTTAGCTGTGCAGGGCAACTTTTGAGACTGATTGGATCAACAACATGGCCGACAGATAGCCATCTTGGATTTTGATAGTGAAAGTTTGTTATCTCTATTTCTCAAGAAGTCTGTACTAGTAAATATGTGAAATGACAAACTCACTTTGAAAGTTGGCTTTCATACACATCAGTATTAAGTTTAGATCAAAAGTTACCTCAAGGTGCATTTACTGTTAACATGACTCGATCAAACAGATTAGAGGAAAGAAGAGAAAAGATCGAACTGACAAAGAACTAATGAAGATGGTACAAAGGTGGGCGCCAAGATCCCTCTGGGATCTCTTGTTATATTAAACAACTTCTTCTCAATAACCAAGAGGCCCAGGCTGATGATATTTGGCCAGTAGCATGCTAGGATGAAGGGCTACCAAATTTATTCAAATGAATTACTTTGACCCACTTTCAAGGTCACAGCGGTAAAATGTCTTAAAATCTTCAAACAACTTCCTCTCAATAACCAAAAGGCCCAGGGTACTGAAATTGGGCCTGTACCATGCTGGGATGAAGGACTAACAAGTTTGTTCAAATGAATGACCTTGACCCACTTTCAACCTAATGTCCTTGTTCGACATTCAAGGTCACAGGCGTCATATGTTTACATCTTTTAATAGGTTCTTATGAATCAAACACGGATATTCTGCATGTAGCTGTATTTTAAGATTACAAGTGTGAGATTAATACCAGGTGAGCGATGGAGGCCCATTGGGCCTCTTGTTTATATTTTTTCCGAGATAATTATCATGTAATTAGGTACCTCGGCTTTTTATAATGTTATTGCTCAGATGTGACATCCACTTGTCACTTATTTATGCAAAACAAAACGATTAGTTACCAATCTTTTTCCAAGAAATTATCACTTATCAATTATCAAAAAATACCTAGTGGACACTTACCACTGTAGGGAAACACCAAGTAGACACTTACCACCGGAGGGGGAAACACATTGGACACTTACCACTGGAGGGGGACACACATTGGATACTTCCCACTGGAAAAAGACTTACATTAGGCACTTGTCACTGGAGGGGGACACATCAGACACTTGCCACTGGAGGGGGACACACATTGGACACTTGCCACTGGAGGGGGGCACACATTGGATACTTCCCACTGGAAAAAGACTTACATTAGGCACTTGTCACTGGAGGGGGACACACATCAGACACTTGCCACTGGAGGGGGACACACATTGGATACTTCCCACTGGAAAAAGACTTACATTAGGCACTTGCCACTGGAGGGGGACACATGTCAGACACTTGTCACTGGAGGGGGACACACATTAGACACTTGCCACTGGAGGGGGACACACATTGGACACTTGCCACTGGAGGGGGACACACATTGGATACTTGCCACTGGAGGGGGACACACATTGGATACTTCCCACTGGAAAAAGACTTACATTAGGCACTTGTCACTGGAGGGGGACACATCAGACACTTGCCACTGGAGGGGGACACACATTGGACACTTACCATTGGAGGGGGACACACATTGGATACTT